CAACCCAAATTCCGGCTGGGCATGTGGCCAGGCGACCACACACGAGGACCGAACCTGGCACGGAAGCATGCTTGAAGGGTCGACATGGACAGGTCCCCGTGCCAAACATGCTTTCAGCACACAATGATAGGCATGAGCAGCCCGCACGCATAGGACGGCTTCAACCGCTTTTTGCGCCCCCTGGCTGAACAAGCTCCCCGTGTCACTGAAGTCCAGACTTGTAGCCTGCTATACCATGCTGCATGCATGCCACCGTGGGCTGTTGAGATGCCTGGGCTGCGTCGCTGCCCTCTCACTGAATTCCGTTGAGTTGACCTACTGCACGAAGACTGCACTATCCCGCCTGTCCAAAAGCGCCACCTTCGTCAGGAAGGCCTCTTGCAAGTAGCCATGTCGATATGTTCGCAGTGCCTGGTTGCTGACAGGGAAATGCTGCAGGGGGTATCGAAGCTTGCTGAGTGCTATTAATTAAGGGGACCAGGAGTTGGATCTAGGGTTCAACGTGCAGAGTGTATGCCCCCCGCAGGAAATTTGTGCAGACGTGGCCTGTACCCGCTCCTTGTCCCCTGGAGTGAGCAGGATGTGGATTGGCCGAGTGTTGTTCCGTCTTGCAATCGCCGGCAAAATCTCCGCCTCAGACATCTGGAGCAGGCTCCACTTACTTCCCCGGGCCGCTGCGGCTCTCCCCAGAATGTGGAAGAGCTCCTCGTGCCGCTCGGCCCACGCCGCACTTACCCAGACCTTGCGAGGAACCTGAGTAGCCGCCTTGTACTTCAGCATGAAACCACCACGACCCTGGCTCTTCAGCCAAGCAGGATCCATGACAGCGCCGCCACGAATAGCCAAGTGCCAGCGAACCCTTTGCCCGGGTGAGGCGATGTCGGCGACAATGAACACCCCTGCCCTGGCCCTGTTAGAGCTCACGCGTGCACCAGCGGAGAGAGCACGCCTGCAGGCCGGCAGATCCTGGCGCGAAATGAACTTGTCGAGGAAGACCACACCACGCGGCCGCTGAAACTGCGGGCGTTTGATGATTTTCACCTGCGTGCGGAGCTCATGCTTTCGCTCATGGTCCCTGAGATTCTTGCGCATGTTCTGCTCGATCTTGCGAAGCTTGGCCTGAAAGTCATCTTCATTCCCCACGTCCCCGTCCAGCGTCATGCCATTCTTGTGGGCGATGATTAATCGCTTGAGCCGCTTGCCTTGCTGAAAAGTAGCTTCTTTCTGCATGCGTGGCGTCCAGAGAGGACCTGAAATGGCATCCACGCGTGGACGAGCTGCCTCAAAGGAGTCTCGGCGCCGCCATCTGCGACATGCTTCAGCAACTTGCTGCCGCCTCTCTCGCAGCCAAGATGCCTCGGTCTGCGTATTGTTTCTGTGCGTCTGCACGGGGCCGGCTTTCCGATACCTAATCTGGTCCTCATTGGCACGCCGGCTGACCCCGAAGTGCTTGCTCCAAATGAGCCTGGCTTTCCGCACAACAGTCTCCATGTCCTTTGTGCTGCCTTTATGCGTCACCAGCATGAGCACATCGCGCAC